ACCTAGCATCGTGGATATACAGGCCTTGAGAGAGCGACCACTGGAAGTCTACTTCAGAAACAGTAGTACGCGAGCGTACTACGTCTCTAAAAAACTGGCGTCAAAACATACGAGACACAGGTGTTCGATAGCAAACACCGCCGCGCGTGACGCCGCGCGAGACGCCGCATATACGCGCCGTCATTATTGATAAATTCTGAGAAAATTTGCGCGAAAATTGCCGCGCACTTGTAATTTTCTAATTAATAGACTCTTCGCGGGAGGATAAACTGCAGTTTCCTATTAAGAGTCTATTGAACGATATTTCCAAGAATTTGTCTATGGGTCATAAGTCGTTGCAAAATTTGATATATGTGTGTGTCAGCTAAATTTTTTCCTTCAAACAATTTAATATCGCATTTGTCGTACGAGACATTTTTTAAGCATAGAATTGATTAACCAAGATAGAAAAGCTCTCAAATCTCTTGTAGTAACGTTGCAGATATTTCATATTGAATACTTGAAAAGTCTCGAAATAACCCGATACATTTAACATCACCATAGCTGCATCGCGGCAATGAACCACGAGTATTTCGTAAAAATCAAACGAGACTCACCCATGGTTGTTCCGGCGCCTGATGCACCTCGGGCCGCCTCCTCCTCTCAGATCCTATTCGTTGCACTCCTTGGCATTCACTGATCACTTGCGCTAATCACGCTCGGTTCGCTAATCACTTGCACACATCACTAATTACCTTCGCACTGATCGGAGCCCAAAGTCGCGCGATATTTCGTACGGCACTTCCGATGACGGTCGCGCGCGCTTGAGCGAAAGTAACACGAAACGGTCACAAAACTACGAGTAACCCGGCGCCGTTTTATTCTTTTTACAACGCTCGCATTTTTGCAAGATCCACTCGCGAGGAATGCGACGACGCTCGCACGTTGAGCGCCAAATCGCCAAGTGTAGAACACAACCCCGCGACAGCTGGTACGTCCCGACGATAGTCGCTCGGCGACGCGATAGATGGCGCGAGCTCACTATGACGCTACCGACTTTAGGATTGTTAAAATGGCGGACATGATTCCTAAATGGCGTCGCTAATTAGGATCTACTATGACGTTTCCACCGAGGGTCAGAGTCGGGCTAGAGTCGGGTCAGAATCGGGTTGGGGTGAGCGTTTTTGCGGTGGAAACACCAAACCCCAACTCGATTCTGACCCGATTTGGTGTTTCCACCGCAAAAACGCTCACCCCAACCCGACTCTGACCCTCGGTGGAAACGTAGTCAGTCTCGCGCTATTTATCTCAAATCATGTATCACGTCGCGCGCGCGCTACGTGATCAACGCGATCCGAGAATTCGGAGACAGAAGACGAGCGCCCGCGGAGTACGCGCCGCCCAAAAGCACGATCGTCGTCGCGCGGCGACGCCATTGCGCGGCGACGCCGACCACCCGCACGGACTTTCGATCGCGCCGCGTTCCGCCGAGTACGCGCTATCGCTAATCACGACATCGAATATACGTCACGCGACCGACAGACCGTTAGAGAATCGACTTAATTGCACCGCACTCGCCGCTACGACGCGAGGTCGACCCCCAGCTCTCGCGCTCGCGATTTTCCAACTGTAACGGTTGAACGCTGTTCTTCACTGTGACGTCACGTGACACTACGCGAGTCTCTTCAGCCGTTAACGGATTCGCGGACCGGCCGTTCGTAGATGCACGCACGATTCGAAACGCATTGCTCGTACGTTCGAGACCGCATGATACGCCTCGAGCCTCGTGCAAGCGGACTGTTAATTAATTGTCGATCGCGTTTCTCCGCGGTCACTCCGGCGACTCGCGTATTACCTTCTTCTTCGCCAGCGTGTCCAGTACTACCAACCGTTTACCGAGCGTCCGAGCAACAGTCCAATGTGACTGGCTCGCGCTTTCCAAGCCAAGCGGTTGCGCAGCCTGTCCGGCGCGACGTTTGAATTCTTGCGGAAAATTCGAAGCTCGATGAAGAAGTACGCCGGAACGTTGGCGTTATCAGAGAGGCGTTGTCGCGTTGAATCGGTAAATTGTAATTATTGCCTTTAGAGTGAATTCTGCTTGGTGGATTGATATTTTGATTGTTATATCGCGCAATCGTTGCGAAAGAAGACTTGTTGTTGAATTAAAAAATATTGGATACGCACTGCAGTTGCGAAAGAAGATTGCAAATCTTCATTCGTAGTAAATGACTGGCGGAGACGTGCGACGTTTTATTACAAGTACGTTGTAACTTTTAGGGTACTATTACATTTGTCGTACGACAAATTTTTCAAGCGTGTCGATTGGCCGCTGAATAGAAAGTTTCTAGATACTCGAGAATTTTACTATCCTTCAGCCAATCAATACGCTTAAAAACTTTGTCGTACGACAAATGTAATACCAGCCTGAAACTACAAAACTTTACGAAACATGAGGCTTGCTCGTGTTGCTTGAAATTCGCAAAAATTGCTGCGCTTTAAAAAGAAATAAATATACATTGGACGCTGGAGAGAAATAAAACGAAGATTCGTGCAACAAATGCGAAGCGACGCGAACAGACTTTTGAAGCGGTTCACAACTTTCCAAACCCGCCTTTACAATGGAACTGGACCACGGCGGTGGGTTTTAGGAACGCTCTTTTTCCACAGATCAGTTGTTACAACTTGTTACGACTTCATTGCGAGTTAAAGGTAAAACCTTTGGCACGCATTGCGTGTTGAAGAGGAAAATATAAGTATCAGCGTGATTGAGCAGTAATTGTTTACACGCGTAATCTAAAGCGCCATAAAGTCACCCTCCCTGCAACCTATGGTCAGCTGTACATTTTCAGCAGGTTTCGGAACACACCTTTGGTGCGGGACACGTTCCCCAGGATACAGTATACACAGGTGTCGTGCGCATCGCTGCGCCCAGGTCGCCGAGGATTAGCGGGCGCGCATGACAATTCGGTCGCAGGTGAGGTGAGAGCTGGTAAGGAACGTATGCGGAAGAGGTTAACGATCGTACGCTCGCATTCGCAATGAGGGGAATTCTGTGCTCGCTCGTGATCCTCGCGAACCTGTGCGAGCGATACGCGGTAGCGGAGCACGACGAGGACGCGTCCACGGATCTGTTTGTGATCGAGGGGAAGGTGTTCCCCTGGGACAACGCTGCCTCCACCGGGTGGCAGCTGATGACGCACGTGATGGCAAACGGTGGCGAACACTACGGCTTTCTGAGGTAACGCGGGCTGGGCGCGGTGCGAATCTCAACGGGTCCCCCGATCCGCGCGTATTAAACGAGCGTCTCATTTCAGGGAAGATGGCACGTTTATAATCACGAACGTCCCGTCCGGCTCTTACATGGTGGAGGTGGTGAACCCGAATTACGTTTACGAGCCAGTCCGGGTGGAGATCAATCAGAAAGGGAAATTCCGGGCTCGTAAGGTCAATTTGATACAGACGTCGCAGGTGATTCAGGTGCCCTATCCGTTGAAAATGAGGCCTCTGGCGCCGTTCCGATATTTCCAAGTCAGAGAGCAGTGGCGGTTAACGGATTTCCTGTTCAATCCCATGGTAACGGAGCGTCCGGCCGACGCACATACGCTTTCGCTTTACCTACCCCGCGGCCTGAAATCATAACGTTTCTCTCTTCCGTTCCTCCCCAGGTTTTAATGATGGTTCTGCCGCTTATACTGATCATGATTCTGCCGAAAATAATGAACGATCCTGAAACTAGGAAGGTAAGAAGACCTAAAGACCGGCCAAAAATTGAGTGATCCTCAAAACTAGGAGGGTTTTTTTTATTTTTTCCTAATATCTCTAGATAAATAAATGAGAGATAATGCTGTAAGATACTATTGACCGTCTAATATAAATTATTATACGATTTACCACGTAGTCTATATACTCTAGTCCTTGACAAGTCATAAACTAAATGCATTTTGTAGGAAATGGAGCAATTAAATAATCTCACTATCTATAATATGCCAGAAATGTCTGAAGTAATAACGTCTTTTCTTTCTGGAGGAGAAAAACAAAAATCAAAGGCTGTAAAAGCTGCTAAGAAAAGACAATAATGTATTAGTTTAGTTTTATTACCTGTAGATTATTATATGTATATGTTTACTCTAGTCGTTAAAATATATTTAAGATACCGACGACGAGGAACGTTCCAATTTCTTGAATCGAGTCTCGCGCGAGATTGTCAATGCGTTAAGCCTTTAAGCTCTACCGTTTTCAAAGTGCTTGATATACTTCTGCAGTCTCGCAACTCGCTGGATTCGCGTCTCTCACGTCAACCGGAGAAACAACGGCGACAACTTTCGAACTTGGTACTCAATTCGTTTTCACGCGGTTACTTTGTATATAACTGCAATTTCGTAAAGTAGAGAAATAGCTTCGTACGAATGTAAGTAGAGGAAAAATCTGACCTAACGTAACGACACACTAACGATTGTGATTGTACTCTGCGTCACAAAGATGTTATTTTGTTTACACTCTCTTGTGTCGGTCGCTCTCTGTGATGTCTAGATTAATCCTGTCTTATGTAAGGTGTCTAGGCACAAGATACAATTTTCTAAATCCTGAAACGGGCGTGTATCTGTAATACCACGAATAAATAACAATTGTGTATAAATTTTGGAAATCTAGGCTGCCAAGACGGATCTTTATCCATCCATCCTCACTCCCTAATCTTCAAGTTTTCCAATCGACTCGAGAGGCAAGTTCACAGAACGAGATCAAGCTCATTGATTACATATCAACTACTCTCGCGCGAAACTACACGTTATACTAGTAATCGTATCCAATTTAATTCTGTAATATCTTATTATCTGATGATTGCCATGTTAATCGATGTTAATAATTATTTTGTCCTATGAGAAAATGTCTGAGCCTGTACGAGAAGCCAACAGAGACTTGAGATATTTCCAAGATATTTCGAGCATTGAGAAATGATAACGGCAAATCTCGGTTCTCCAAGCAAAGACGCTCGCTTTTTCTGGAAGAATTTCTACAAATAATTCAGAAAATCTTATAAGCGTTTGAAATGTCTCTTAAAATCTTTATCTAATCTTTTTTTTATCTTTCTCGGAAATATCGACGAACGATCAAGATTTCTTATCTGTACACAAAATTGCACAAACATGGGCAGTTATAACAATCGTATAACTGCCCGTTTAAAAAATTGCGCTAGAGCATCTTTCGCAATAGTACTAGGCTGATGGCGGAGAACGATCCTAAACTCTTAGGCCTAATCTACAATGTGCTCTTTGCGTCTAGAAACATTCTATTTTGTAGCCAATAAATACATTTGAAAAGTTTGACAAACAAGTTGATAAATTGTACATTATACATTGTACAATCGTACGTTGTCGACAAAGTTTTTAAGCGTTTTGATTTGCTGATAAAATAGCTTATTTGCTAAATTCTATTTGCTAAAACAGAATATTTCTAGACGCAAAGAGCACATGGTAGATTAGGCTTTAAGGGCCTCAGCAGAAAGGTCGTCGTAAACTGTTACGACAATCTTTCTGCTCAAACTCTAACGCCTGTTATACAATACGTCATATGTCGCTGTCGCGTGTCGGGACGTAGCCGATGGTCTATTCCGTAGTAAATTTCTTTTAAAAAAATTGTCTCATTGAACATCGGCTACGTCTCGATATCCGACAGCGATCTACGTCTGTCTCAGTAGTGCATGAAGATATGCATAAGGAATCTGATTGGGCCATAAGTGCGTGCATAAGGAAATAAACTAATCAATTTCTTTACGCATATGCTTATGCAAATATACAAATTTTGTCTCGATAGACCCTTAAGCGCTTGCCGATTGTTATCTGCCATCAGCCTTACTCGTAAAAATAAAATTACGTTTATACATAACGTTTTAATTTGTCACATTAAAGTTCCAATGGACCTGTTGTGTGATTCTGATTGTACGGTCAGTCCGGTCAGGAAAGGAGTAAAACGTTCTCGGAACGTTTAAGTCATAGGACAAAAAAAAACTCGCTAGTATTGCGACATTAGATATACGTTTCTTAAGTATGATTAAGCAGTTCCGGGTCATTCGAGTAAAAAGATATCTACGCACATCTGCAGCTCGAAAGCAAAAAACAAATACCCGCGAAAATTCTACAGAGTTCCACGAAGTACGGGAAAACCTCCTGTAACTTATGGACAAAAGTATTCTCGCTCAAACGAGTTACATTGATTCTCGTAGCTCGGCGCTTTAAGGAATATCTTTAGATATCACGAGGCAAACTCCTCTCTCTTTCTCTGTGTAACGCGACGATTTGTGACAAAAGTTTCTCGGAAAAAGGAAAGTTACATTAAATCGGGCCCGATTAACGCCAGGAAGCAGGAGCGCGTGGTCCGTGGGAATTGAAAACGAAAAAAGGAACACGAAAGTAAAGATGAGCAACCACAAGCGCATGATTCAGCGGTCGACGATGCACGGAGCCGAGAGCGAGAGAGCGGCTGAGTGTGCCGGCTCTTCCGGGAATCCATATTTCGCCAATCGGGCCTCCGGGCCGCTCGCCTCCTCCCGATTTCGTTTCATTCAGGTTTCGACTAGATCGGAGCATTGCGTCGCGATTGCACGACGTCCGCGTTGTACCGCGGTGATCGAGTTCTCTTGCGAGATAAATAATTGGACGATCGATCGCGTGATCAAGTGATTACTCAGATATTCGGTGGCGGCCAAGGTGTGAAGAATTTCATCTAGAAAGTTACGGTGAATATATAAATGTTGGCAATATTTATAGATAGCGCAAAGAAGTCGCGGTTACAAGGCGAAGTGATTAGGTGCAACGTGAAGATGAACGAGCGTCGATTAGGGCGCTAATTCGAGCCTAATCTCGGCGAAGGATGCCGCACTTGCGAGGTGTGATCTTGCTTGAGGAGATACTCAACTCCAACGCCGAAATTAGGCGAGAATGCTCGGTGTTACTAGAGGCGAGATGGTCACGCTGAGTGAACGATTCGCTAGGAAAAATCGTGAATTCCTCTGCCGAATTGCGGACATTTCTCAAGACTCTGACACCGTGCGTCAGCTGCCGTCCGAGATGACGGACTCCGAGCCGAATTCAGGCTCAAAGTCGAAATCGAAAGGGTGTAGTGATAAGAAAACGCAGGCGCTCGCGAAGCAAACTCGCGCGACGCGTATTCTACAGGCGCGCGGAATACGCGACGTTGAAACCGCGTCGGAAAGCGACGAGAAGAGCAACGACGAAGATCCGGACGATCGCCGATCCGAGTCCGAGCAGATTATGGTGCCGTCCGGTAAATATCCGATCGGCGAACGACGGACGAGAGCCTGCGTCTTGGACTCGCGTATTGAGACACGGGCGATACGTCCTGATGAACGTCGTCTTTCAGATCCGTCCACGTGGAGCTCGGGTCACATAAACGAGTGGATCTCGTGGTGCGGCCGGACATTCGCCATCAGGCCAGGCTCCATCGCGACGATACTCCCGTCGACCGGCAAGGAGCTGTTGCGATTAACGCCGCAAGATTGGCGGGACATCGGCGGCACGGCAGGTAGTATCCTGGCGAGACACCTGGCTCATCTTCGTTTCCAAGCCACTGGCGTGTACACCCCGGGCTTGCTGCAAGAAAACGAAAATGGTGAGAGAGTCTAGGCTCAAAATTGCTATTTTTTCCTATCTGTTTCCCTGCCATTAGAGATTTTGTGTTAATAACTTTAATATGAATTTAGATGTCCGGAATAAATTTGAGGAAATGAAGATTCAAAAGTTGGTTTAGTTCAGTGCTTTGTTCAGTGCTCCTTTCGTTCCCAGTCGTTGCGTTTCTGTGAGGGATCTCGGATAAGTAAAATTATATATTCCGTTTCTAATTTGAATTCTGCGTTCTTTCGAATTCTGACGTCAAATTACTCCATTCAGACGCGACAAGAGAGATGTGGTTTGGTACACTTTATATTTTAATTCTTTTTAGGTTTGATATTCAACTAAACGTGAACAGCTTTTTAGTTTTATCTACAGATAGTTCTGGAGATCTAGCTATCTATTCCTCCCTTATATGTAAAACAGTTCATTTTTTTCTTAGGGATAATAATGTCTTCTACGCATATTAATTGCAAGCATAAATCCAAAGCGATTCGCGCTATAAATCTAAACGGCAAAGCTCTTAGGAAAGCGTAATAGGGATTTGGTCTTGGACCTGTCACGATTGAATGGAGAGTGACCGGAAAAGGCTAACCGTTCCCCAGGGACCGATTCTGGTCCAGCTGGAGCTTATCTAAGGCCTTAACGATGGTGGCGATCTATTACAGATAAACGCGGTCCGGCGGGAAAGTAAATATCGGTATCGTCGAACGGATACGTTTCGCCCCAGACTTTCCTCACCTCTATCGCTTGCACGACTCCCGAAGGAAAAAAAAAGCCCGTACATTTAAAAATCGTGGCGACTGATTGCGAGTAGGAAAGCGATACCCCGAGGATAAGATAAAGAAGCGATAAAAAGAAAAGAGATTTCTACGAGAGTAGACTCTGTGGTAGTACTTCAATAGAAACATTTTTATGCAATCATGTGTTAGCGATAGCAAGTACGATGCAATATACAAATAGTATAATGCATCCCAGCCCTGTGTCCACGGTACTAGAGCATCAATTCTGTATCTTACAATATATATGGTGAAAATGCTAAAAATTGTGCATTCTAAGGGGACAGTTAGAAAGATACAAAGCTACTCACTTACAGCATTTTCACTACAATGTAAGATACAGAATTGACCCCTAGATCTCGAGAAATGTATAGCCAATCGACTTGCACATTTAACGGGAAAACGGCAGTTGTGCTGGCTATAACACGCACGTTGGACCGGGATCTAGCATCGTGGACGCGAGGCTTTACATTAGAATTGGTGCCAACCGCGTGGAGTCGCGACGAAGAGAAAACGAGGTAAAAAGGAAACGGGGGAAAAAAAAGAAACGTAATTTCTCCCTTTGTCTACGCTCTATTCGCCCCCTCTTTTTCGTATACGGAATACAGGACTCTCGAGCACCATCTCCTCGGACGTGGAGGAAGAAAAGCGAAAAGTGAGAGGTACCGAACTGTGGCAGCGTAAGCCTCCGAGATATATCGTCCGTTTGAATAACGTTGCAGCTCTCTTTCTCCCTCTCCCTTTTCGCTCCCTTTCCGTCTCCCTTTCTCGCCCGTTTTCGCGCGCGTGTGTGCGCGCGCGTCGGCCCATCTCGCCCCGGCAGCAGCCGTTTATTAAACGAATCAGTGTTATCGCGGTGAGAGAGTCCTCATGAATAAACCATCGAGTGTTTAGGGCAGCGGAAAGGTGGTGCCACGAGGGGTTACGAGCTTGCTCCGCGCGACCGCTTTTACCCCTCTTTCTGCTCTCCTCCCTCAGGGGGGCAGGCTCTAACGGGCTCGGGGGTGGTAAGCTCGCCGCGGGGCGCGACTATATTGTTTTCGTGATGAGCGGCACAGCGCGTTCTCTCGGATCTTGAATGTATACGGGATAATTTTACGCGTCGCGCCTCCGTCACACGTCGCTCACAGGACGTCGCGTATACGCTCGCCCCGCGTTTACGGCGTGCACTTTGTATTTTATACGCACACGCGCGCACGTGCACAATGCATCCGCGATATCCTCGAGTGAATCCGCGCGAGCCTGCCCTTCGAGCACTTTATGTCATCTTTAGCACAGCAGTCGAATGATAAAGTTTCACACATTCCCCCGTTTCTTTCTTCTTCTCTTTTGCGTACAATAAAATGTACATAAAAGACTCTGAAATCTTTTTTTATATTCCGTATCGAAAAGAGGGGCGAGCACGGAAAACGCGTGGCCATTTCGAATCGAAGTAGAGTCAATTTGGCTTTTCGTTGATTTTAATGTGTTCCTTAAGGATGTGTTGTACACTTTCAGTCTACGTAAGCCAAACGAAAAATAATACAAACGTGTGGAGTGTGATTATTCCGACTAACATTAGATTCCAAAGCTCGTCCGAAGCTAACATGTTTGTGCCCTGTTTGCCCGATGGGACGATGTGCTCTCGACAGCGGATGATGCTATGATACTTAAAATAACGGTAGGCGACGAAGGATCGAGAAAGGACGGGGCAGTCGTTAATCGTTTTCGAGAGCGAGTCATTAGCTAGCGTTAAGAGTAGAGTCGAGTAGCGAGCGAGAAAACGCAAAACTTACTAGTTCTTCTGCAAACGTATCTATCCAAGTTTTTGCAGAAGTGTAGTCCGCAATGAAACGATCGCTCCAAACACAAGCGCTTGAGAGATCCATTTACGAGAGAGGAAATCTTGGAATAAAATTACGTAACTTCGTCCTCCTAGCTTGCGAGATGGTCCTGAAAAGATACACTTGCGTATATTCCGAAAGAGTAACAGAGCGAAAGAGATGGCGGATACCGGCAAGTACCCTAAGCGCAGTACGTCAGAAGAGGGGGTGCAAAGGTATTCCGTTCTTACCAAGACCAAGAGTGGGGGGGAGGGCGCGAAGGGCTGAAATAACCAGGGGCAAAGGTCGCTCAGTCGCTCTCTGTCCACTGGCTGGCGGAGTTTTAGCTTTCCAAATGCGTCTGTCTGCCGCTGACGATTGACATTGCGTGTTCGCGTGTGTCCGAGACGCGTCCAACGTTATCGGGATCAGTGATACGAGTCTCGATTGATGCTCCTCGATTTGTATCCATTATTTCGCGAGAGACAGCTGGTCCGCGATGAAGCTGCTCGGGCTACGCTCGCTCGCGCGGCCGTCCGAGTCCCTGCAAAATTAGTTTCGACTGTTATTTTTTCCGTTGTCACGAGAAACCCATAGCGATGCACGCTCTTTTCAAATCGAAAAGATGCAGGATCGCGGTTAAGAACGTTAAGACCGAGAGATGATCGTCGTACGGAAGACGCGAGAAAACGCATCCCCAATGCGCGTGACTCTCCGGAGATGATGAGCTTGTCGTCTATCGGTTTCCGAAAGCGCCGTTTATATGGCACAGGATTAGGCCAAGGTGGTAAATTCGGCGCGTAATGTGGAGAATTCAGACGCACCCTCTACATCTTCAGCAGGACACCAGATTGCATCCTTCGGCCGCTGCAATTTTTTATAATGGTAAATTCAGCAAGGCGAAAAATTAAAAATGAAACTTTCGGAAATACCGTCGCGCGCGTAACATCGTCCTCGCCGCACGTGTATTTATATGTAAACGAAAATTCGCGCGTAACGAATGCGATGCCCAACTTGACAGTGTAAAAAATAGAAATTATTTACAATAGAACTTGAGAAATAGAGAATATCGGGACGACCGCTCGAATTTTAACAAACTCTCGCGGTGGAATTCAAACGTAAAATCCTGTCGTAAACGCGACGAAATATTTACGGTATGAGTGATACGGAAATAAAGGCGGAGGGAATAAAAATCCGTGTCAGCCAGAACGAGAGGACAGGTGTACGACGAGGAGAGCCGACGGTCCATCGCTCTGTCTCTCACGGTCGAGACGACTCGATCTCAAGAACGCCTCGAGAACGGGGGCTTGGTGCATGCGTGTTCCGTTTTCTGCTCCGCAGATAGGTTCAGCCTCCTACAACGGACTTGCTCGCTGATTGGATCAACGGCTGGAGCCAGTGCCTCAGGGGCGGTCGGAGGCGGACAGGTTCAGCTCTGGCAATTCCTGCTGGAGCTGCTCTCCGATTCGTCTAACTCGTCCTGCATCGCGTGGGAGGGCTCCAACGGGGAATTCAAGCTCACCGATCCGGACGAGGTCGCACGTCGCTGGGGCGAGCGCAAGAGCAAGCCTAACATGAATTACGACAAGTTGTCACGCGCGCTGAGGTAAATTGTATAACGTAAACGAATATACAATGACACAATCGTGTCATAGGCCACATCGATGTCCATTTCTACCAATGCGGATTAACTTGGATCTCGGTTTCACTTACTTTTTATCTTTTTCTAGTCTCAGGAATTGGAAAAAGATCGTAGTTAATTTACATTGGTAGAAATGGACATCATAGGTAAATAACGTTAAGTCGCAATTTTTGCCAAAACGAGATTTTTATATTCTTTGAGTCACTTTGTCGAGCTGATTTAAAAAACATAAAATCTCGTTTTTGCAAAAAGTTTGACTTAGCATTGTTCACCTTTGAGGCACTGACATAATATTCACAGCTCTCTCTCCTTGTCTTTATCCTCCATACAGCTCATAGATTTTACCTTCGTCAAATCTGTCTTAAGATCCTTATAGACTCTGATTCTTCTCAGAATTTTTCAGACTTTTCATATTACAAATTGATACACCTTTCAGAAATGCCGTGAAAATTTACATCTTTTCAAGAATTTTTCACATCTATGATTTCTAAAATATTCTGAGATTTCTAAGATTGCTCATTCTACAATTTCAGACGTAGTCTCATAAGATTGGAAAAAGTTTAACATATGTTTTCAGAAATCGTAGACTGAGAAATCGCAGAAACAGAATGTTTTAGACTATTCACGTGAAAAATTCTAAGAAAAGAAGTAGACTTTCTCGTCAGCGTATCTAAAAAGTGTACCAATTCGTATAAAAAGTCTGAGACACATTTTTCACCAGGAGATTCATAGATCTTGAACGCCTTGAAACGACCCGCGCGCACTACGCAGTGCCGTTAAGAGAGAATAATATTATTATCGCAGGTATTACTACGACAAGAATATAATGACGAAGGTTCATGGTAAACGTTACGCTTACAAGTTCGATTTTCACGGCCTGAGGATGGCCTGTCAGTCGCAAGCCGGCATCATGCTGGAGGCGTCGACGTCGTCGCGTGTAACAAGCGCGAGCTGCCATCCCCATCATCAGGCACATCGCTTGTATCCGGTGGCACCCGCTCAGCACTCCGCGTCGTCCTCCTTACAATCGGAGCCGTCGCCTTCCGGTCAACAACAGCCACCTCCGCCACCGATGCCGCCGCCGCATTATTGGCCGTATCGATATTCACCGCCGAAATAACGTTGTCTTCAGTCGCCGCCTAGGCACGTGAGATTACGTTAACCGGATTTCAACTCGAGTGGCTGATGGCTCGCGCTCTTTGGATCCCTCCTTTCTTATTTCAGGTACATTACCACCGTTTTTTCGTAATATCTTGGAGCGTTAAACCGACAGGTCAAGTTACCTTCGTTTCGGTCCTTATTGTTAATTGACACGCACAGACGGACTGCGTACGCATTGATAATTGTTAATGTTCCAGTGAGAAAGGATTCGTCGAGTCGACATCGTTTCGACATTGATCGACGAATCATTTCTCGTTCGGATGGATGATATTAGGCGATTTTTGGCGACTGTTTGGTACATTTGGTACATACCAAAGTATACCAGAGTGTATGTACACCCAGCGTCATGAATGCCTTTACACCTGAAGAAGGACGCTAAAGATATCCAATAGGAAAATTTATTTCAATGAACTGAAGTTTTTTATCGGAATAGATTCAACTTAACGGCTATTTTCAGGTGTAAATTCATGATGTCGAGTGTACGCTTGTACCAAAAATCGCCTATTAACAGCACACAAGCGCGAAATACTTTAGACGTTTATGTTCTAAGAGACGTGCTATAATATCGCCGGGATTCCCTCGCTCCCAGAAGTCCCGGGTAGAAAACTCATCACTTAGAAATAATTAACGATTAGCGACAAGTGATATTGTTACGAGTTTCACGTTCTACTCGAGCTACTCGTCACAATAATCCGAGACACGCGAGGGAATCTGTAAATATATCACATACATGAAGCAATACTGCACATCTTATCTCCTTGTTATCATCGCGACTACTATTGTAGAATCGACTATAATAATAGATTCTATGCCAACTCGTTACTGACTACTTTTATAGAATCGTACTCGTAATGTATATTTTGTAAACACGACTTTCTATCCAATAAATATAATGTAGAAAATGAAAAATCCCTGCCGTTATGTGAGACCGATCGAAAATCAATCTCTATTGTAGACTGGGACTGAAAGATGTCTTTTAGACATGCATGCTGTATGGGTACTTTCTCTTCATCTGTAACTGTGACTTAACTCAGTTACATCTTTTCGATAACTAGCTAGTAACTAATTTAATAGTTTACATTAAGAGTTACTTTATAAGTATTTTAAACATCCACAGATCGCACTGGGCCTTGCATTTGCGCATAGAGGCCTTTATCGACACTTTACAATTCAAATGCAGAGTTGATATTTTTATTTTCATTGCAAGAAAGCAACTGCAAAGTAACGATTCGTTGTTTTTTTAGTAACTGTAACGCGTTACTTTTCAGAATTGGTAACTTGCAACTGTAACTAGCTACATTTTTAGCAAAAAGAATTGTAATTGTAACCAGATACTTTTATAAAGTAACTTTCCCAACTCTGGAGAGATATGCGACTCCATCGATTGCAATTATATGTTTTCCCCAACAGGCTTCCCACTTTGGGTCCTCGATTTCCATTGCTGTTGAACGGCTATCATTCCACGCACTGTATCTTCTTCAGAAGGTAGCAATATTGCGAGCCAAAGCAATGTGCGTTGCATTTCGATCCCCGTTAGATTAAGTCAATCTGCAAAAGGGATTATCTTATTATTTTGCCATGAAGAAAACAAAGAGAGAAAAGGGCAGCGCAAGTTTGCCGTGTAAACAACTTCTACGACCGAACGGTAAACTATTTACTAGAGAAGATACATTATATTTTATAGCTTAAGGTTGCGTTCCGAAATTTACTATACGTACCGAATATTGGACTAACTTAACAGAAACTCAAATTCAAGCGCTGGTCCCGACCTCAACATGACGCCGAGTCATGTGACCAAAGGACCCACCACGGTCCAATTTAATGCTGCAAATCACTTCTTCCTCTTCTACTTCTTCTCTTTTGTGATCCTCGGTCCTACAACTGGACTGACACGGTGCTGCGAATCACTGCTTCAAAGTGTTATCCGCCTTCCTTTTAATTAAACAAACGGAGAAGAAAAACGCTTCATGGCAGTCGCGCAGCATCAAGTGAACCGCGCGCAGTCCACATCGAAGGCGACGCTCGGTGGATAATCAGTAAACTCTGTACCATTGGATATACGTTGATACTTACCGGATACGCGACAGATGCCGCCACGTGCCAACATGGCGGCCGGTCGCAACGCGCGTGGCGTCGCTAGCGATCGAGGTGACGCACGCGCGGAAGCTGGTAACCTCCTCTTCGCTTCACGGAAAAGGTAAATGAAACCACGTTGGATACTGCCGGTTAAAATCCGCTCGTTACGTTGAGATCGTCGCGTATCCAGTCCGCGGAAACGTTGGAATGTGTTTTCCAGAGCGGGAATAATAACGTCCTGTATTTATTTCCAGTTAACCCCGGCTCGCCCGAACATGTCCGACGTAGAAAAGTGAGTATACCAGGCGGCCCTCCCCCAGCACCTTCTCCTTTCGCCCGGCTGGATTCGATAAAGCTAACGAAATCACGAATGTATAAGCCGCACGGAAACGCTTAGCGACAAGGAGAAGAGTTTGACGTGTAGCAAATGCGCTCAACGTTGTGCGATAACATTGGACAGACTTAGACTTTTGTTGTTGAAAGCTCAATCGTGGATTTTCAAAAGAGCTTGCAGCATGTAAAAATACATGTTTGACAAGTGATCAACGTAGATAATAGCTGCATTGTAAATCTGAGGCGTCGGAGTACTCTTCCTCCCTTTCTATGGATGTGTTTCGTCTCACGCATGATGCATCGTTTATCTTTGTTATTCGCCAAATGTTAAAGGATAAATGATGCATCATGTATCCTCGTTACTTTCCCGATGTTGAATAAGGACAAATGATGCATTATGAGCGTCACGCGTGAAACGGAACGCACCTTGTCCCATTCTCTCTCGCTCACTCGAATGCCAAAGAGCGCTCAGACGTCTTGGATCTGCAACGCCGAACGCAGATAAAAAACCGATATATGTATTTTGATTTATTGTTCGGGCTTTGAACAGTATTCCCGATTGTCGTATTGTGCTATCGCGTTCAATAAAACTTTCCTTGCAGCGACGATGTGCCATCCGTGATGGCGGCGGGTGGCAGCATGGACGTTAACACGGCGCTGCAAGAAGTTCTGAAGAATTCGCTCATTCACGATGGCGTTGTGCACGGGCTCCACGAAGCTGCTAAAGCCTTGGACAAGTAAGATGGAAAAATTGATTGAGTGTTGTCTCTTTCCTTCGAAACGCGTTCGTTTGACTCGTTTCTGCTGCCCGCGTCTTTCCGCTCTAGTAAAACCAATGTTAAGTACAGTGGTTTTTACCAGTGAATTTTTTGTATTCCAGGAGGCAAGCCATGCTCTGTATCTTGGCAGATAATTGCGACGAGCCGATGTACAAGAAACTGGTTCAAGCGTTATGCAATGAACATCAAATTCCGCTGATAAAGGTAGACAATAACAAGAAGCTGGGCGAGTGGGCTGGCCTGTGTAAAATCGACAGCGCGGGCAAAGCGCGCAAAGTGGTCGGCTGCTCGTGCGTTGTCATAAAGGTAGGCTGTTTCCAAGTTTCTAAACTTCTGCTCCTTTTTTTTCTATGGAACTTGTTGCAATTATAAGACTTAATAGTACGTTAAAGAGATAATTATGAGACGTATCACATCTGATGATAATTTAGGCTCCCTCTACTGAGTAGAACCCGTAAAATAAGCAGACCATGCTGTAATTGTGCCTTACTGATATCACTTTTGTCAACGTTTTCTTCCTTCAGTCGTTGTTAAGTTGTTGAGTGAGCATTCATTGCTTTTAGGATTTTGGTGAAGACACACCTGCTAAAGACGTCCTAATGGAATACCTTAAACAAAGCGCTGTACATTAACATCTTTTAATAAAATATTTGACAACTACACGAATAGAATACTTCCGTTTCCGAAATCTCTCGGAATCTCCGTTAAAATGTGCGGAGTATAAAGATCGAAACTTTGATTTTTTTAATTTGGAAATGTGTGAAGACAATGTTCTTGAGAAGAGCGTTGCAATCTTCGCGACTATAATTTACATTGTATAATTTGAAAGGAACAAAATACAAGGAGAGATAAGGTTACTTTATTTTGATGAATACGCATATTCTTAATCGCTAGGAATCTACGTTATCACTGTTTTGTTTTTTCGTCGTCGTGTTGCAAATATCCTTGTGGCTTTCCCAGTCTTTCACTTGGCACTCTCTACAAGAGAACGAATTGTCATCTCTGTATGTTACTTTTGAGGATACACATTTAACATAACTTGATGACAAATCCTCAAAGTATTCCCTACGTACCTGCTACAATACCAAGCTTCCTTGCATCTGGAGCATCGTTTCTTAGACGGTTCTTGGCATAACGAACATCTTTTCGCTTCCATACGATCTAACTTCTCCAAATCGTAGACGTCATTTAAAATTTGCGCGGCGTCTTTAATGTAACTCGCATCCGTGGTAAATAGACACTTGGACTGATGTCGAGCCAGTTTCTTCCACTTCTTATGGTATTTCTCCAAAATAGTCGACTTTATCTGTAATTAATGTACTTAATCTTGAATAGCTGACATCGATAAAATAAGAGATAAGAATAGAAAAGAACAGCGACATACCTGCGGCAAAACTTCCACGCGAACCGGGCAGGTCGTGCCTGAGGACGGCATCCCCGGCGATATGTTCAAATAAGATAGCCATCTCTTAAGCTCTATCAAAGGAGCGATTTGATCGAGCACATCTTCGTGCAAATGTCTCTGCAACTAGGACAAAATTCCACTTAAAATTGTAAATTATGTACAATCATCGGTACAAGTATCGACGACGAACGGCACCTTCGATAGCTGGGACAGCCTGTGCTCTGTGATCTCGTAGTACGGAGAGCACTTCGGATTAAGAAGCAATTCTCGCAGACCGAACCACACCTGCCCCTCCCTTTTATTGATCTTCCCAATTTCGTTGGTCTTAATTTTCTTCCAGCTGGCCTCGTACGTCATCACTTCGCCTGCACGAAGATCAATGGCAACTCGTTTATTTGTATTGATTGGGTAGCTAGAAGCGAAAAATAGATGTTACCGTCCTCATTTTGCTTCTTCCACGGCTGACTCTCAATCAGCTGCGCGAATAAGTACGGAACGTCATGTATCGCCAGCATACGCGAGATCGCGCAGAGGGGCAAGCTGTCCAAAATTTCGATCAGATAGTGAAGAATCGAGATGCACCGCATCCCAATGTCGAACTCGAATGCCTTCTGCTTCTCCACTATCTCTTCCAAGCAGGAACTGGCGAGAGGCATGCATGAACAACAAATTCGGTATATAAAAATGTAAAAAGTACACCGGCTCTATGCACAAATACTACAAATGCGCATCATCTGCCGAGTTTACTTTACAATCTGTCCAGTTAAAATGGAGAACCGTATCTCACTTGGCGTCTGTGATTTCGGATCTCTCGTATATATCTTCGGTTTTTCCATCGAGAAGCGTCGTTACGCGTTGCACGGTGTAATCGATGAGATCGATCGCCGTGTCGTCCGCCGTTTGCGCGCCTTCGCAATGGAACAATACATGTTCCAATAACGAGACCACGATAACTTCGTGATACAGCACGCTGTACAGCATGAACGTGTTCGTCGGCTCGCCATTGAGATCGATCAGAAGCGGGAACACCTTGTGCTTCCATATGTCCATTTGTATAGCTTCGTACACAAGAATAGGAGTCTAAAACCAAGCAAGTTAAAAAGACTTGTACCGTGAAAAGGGATAATCGTGCCGAGATACAATTTCCTAGTTTCTTTTATGTAGAAAGAATGTTTTGCTTAAATAAGAAATTATATCAATTTATTATGCAGAAAATTGTATTCCGGCACGTCTATCCTTTTCACTCAGCTAAAAATTCCTTCTGCTTGCAATGCACATGTGCAAACATTGCTTCATCCGTTGCATTAATTTACTCGTTAAATATAAGTCGTTGCACCTAATTATTTACTTTTTTTAACGAGATGAACCATTCCATGACGCTCTCCTCGCGCAGTTCAGATATCTCGAACACACTCTGCTGGTTTAGCAACGCCAGTTTCTTATGGAATTCCAGCCAGCTGAAAGATCGATTTCAGATCACTCTTTAACTCCTGTTTCACAATCTTGCTTTAAGTAAGCTGTAAGCCTTAAGCCGTAAGAAATTAATCACTCACAGGTGAAAGTGAGGGGAATAAATGATCGGTTAATTTCTTACGGCTTGAGGCTTGCAGTTTACCTAAAGCAAGATTGTGGACCAGGGGGTTACCTACCCCTGGTAGATTAAACAGAGATTAAAGTTAGGCGACGTTTGGTGAAACCAGGCCTAAGTTGTATCTAATTTATTGCGACAAGGGAATTTACGAAAATGCGAAATTACCCCTTGGTACCGACGTTTTCGAGGTCCGAGACGTTCAAGCTCTGCACGAAGGCCTCGACCTCCCACGGCGGTATTATGTGTTCCAGCTGATCTGCCATTCCTTCGACCTGTAGAATGAACGACTCTGTCGAGTTCGCGTTTCAGATTAACGTTCTCCGTTTACGGCACGATGTCTCCAAATCTCTCGCGTACAAGAGTACGTTTGATCAATAAATCGTATCCATGTGTTTCCATGCGGGAACTCCAGATCCATCCTGTCTGCAACTTCGCGACAGAGAGAGGCGAAATAACGTGCGATACGAAACGCTAAAAAAAAAACGCAAAGTAATTAAAAATATTATTAATGAGTTATCAGCCCAGTAGCACAGCGCATTAGCTAAACATTGGTCAAATGTTGGTTATATTAGGAATGCATTGGTCGACATCGTCCAACGTGAAGGCAATATTGGCCGTGGAATAAATGTAAATATTGCACCATAATAATTATAAAATATTAGATTTATATTGAAAGTGCATTGGCCAATATTTAACAATGTAATGGGAATATTGGTCCAATATTGATACAATATATTAGACCAATATTGCTAAATAAGAGAAGGCGTTCATCTTACAATATTGGACCAATATTGGGGATAGTATTTTACATTGTTTCCCAATATTGCGCCGATATATTGTGCTACTAAGACAATTTTTTCATTTTAATATCCCAACCGTTCGTGAAAAGGTTCGGCTAAATTAAAGAACAATATGGCATCACTGAAACTAAGTTTGTAAGTCTAATAAAAATTAATAATGAGCAACACACATACCACATGTATCGTATATGTGTGTTGCTCAAAGGTCGAAAGCCCTTACGTCAGCGGCGCGGGAAACGAGACTTGCGTTCAGCAACGTGTCGTTTGCCAACGCGGTCAGGTGGCGATTGGCGCCGATTGGCTCGCGTCCTCGGGGACCGGTCGTGTTCGGCCAATCGTCTTCGGCCGCCGCTCCGCGACGTCGAGAAAATGTGACGCATGCGCGAGGTCGGTCTTGCGTGTCTCGCCTAAAGCCTCGTCCACATGGAAGTCGTAAGAATAGTCGACTATGATTGGTCAATTCTTATGTGTCTGACGAAATTGACCAATCGCAGTCGATCATTCTTACGACTACGACTGGCATTGTAGACCACGCATTACGCCTAGGTCCTAACCTATCTTTGGATGCACGAGTGAACCCGATTCGGGGCATTGTCGGGAGTGGAGCGGCGTTTGTTCGCGTAGGGACGATGCGTTGTAACACCTCGTAGACGCGATGGGCGCGCGCGACGAGCAACGTTCTCGCGCGACGAGGCTGTCGTAGGATGGCTGGGCGCGAGAGCGGCGGCAGGATCGAATCCGTAACGGATCCGTGCCCCGTGAATCCCCGTAGGATCGGCCCGCAGAACGTGGTGGTGCGACTGAGGCGAAGGGAGACGATGGGCTGCCCGTACCCGGGCACCCACGTGCACTGCGCGCGGCAGTTCTACCAGAACGTCTTCCCCAACTTCACCGTGATGAACGTGGAGAAGCCGCCGTGCTTCCTACGCAAGTTCAGCCCGGACGGCAGGTACCTCGTGGCGTTCAGCGCGGACCAGACGTCGATCGAGGTGTACGAGTACCGCGGGGCGCCGGCCGCCGCGGACCTGCTGGCCGACTGCGAAGAAGAGTACGTCGGCCACAAAAGCGACGACCGTAGCTTTCACATACGAAGTAATGTCTTCGCGCGGTTTTTCAAGGTACTGGATACTAACCGAGTCCGCGCGGCGTACGCCATTACTTTGCGGATTGTAAAGATTAAGGGAAAAAAAAAAAGAGCGAGAGTGAGCAAGGGGAAAACTGGTAAAATTGGTGTACCAGCTCTGAAACGTATTTGTAGGTGAAGTGGATTATAAATGTAGTAGAAAGCAACCAGCAATTGAACAGAGAATGCAGTCTCTTCACAGACGACGCACGGTACGTAATCGTGGGCTCGGCCGCTCACATCCCCGAGGAGCTGAGACCGCACTTTTATCAGGTAGCGAGAAACTCTTCATTACTTCCCTCATGGGATTGTTATTCTTAAGACTCGTGTCCGCGATGCTAGCACTTGATCCAAGTTCTAGTTTCGAGAGATGTGTAGTCGATTAATTTGCAGCTTTTGTAACTGCAAGTTGATCGGCTACGCATTTCTCAAGACAGGAACTTGGGCCAAGTTCTAGCATCGTGGGCGCACGACTTTAGAGAGGAAGACTGACGATGCATTATTTCTTGCAGATTTATTCCAATAACGAGGCATTGACGCCGAATCCCAGGTCGCCGCTCGAGGATTACAGCTTGCACCTCGTCGACTTGAAGGGTGGAAAGCTGTGCGACACGAGACACTTCAAAGTGGACAAAATTTATTTGTCGCATAATCAAGGTACATTCGGGCGAACCGTCGCTGCTTATCTGACCGAATTGGATCCAGCTTTGTGGTACGACTTGTCAACAAGCGTGGAGATTCTCAATGTTAACTGCCGTTGTCTATTTTAATGCATTGAAGTTCACTTACAACTTTAACGGTCAGCTAAGCAGTTACTAACGTATCGAGTCTTCGGGACAAATTCATTTCTCTCTCTACGCAGGTTTGTATTTGTACAAAGATATACTGGCAGTCTTGTCCGTGCAGCACCAAACCATACATATCTTTCAAATACTCGATGGCATGTTTATAAATGTGAGGACGATAGGAAGGTACGTTGAACAAGAAGTTTGTCCTACCAAGCGTTACAATTGTTGTCTGACGATACAAATGCAGTACAAACGACATGTATTAGGTTTTGCATGGAAGACGACGCGTATTTGTTGACGAGTGCTTTCCCCGGAATCAATTACCGGCCGTTTAAGGACGTTGCAATAAATAGTCTGAAGCACAGGTTATTGGTATACTTGTACAAACGAGCGGAGTATATAAGCTACGTGGCGAAGGATCCCTACGAACTGAGAAGGTATTATCAATACTTTGATCAGCTCAACTCGCTACGGATGTGGAAGATGCAGCTGCTGGACACGAATCACATACTGGTCAGGTACGCGAGCGAAGAAGTGGCGACGTTGCAAGCGAACGAGCCAAATGCGCAGCCGGCTCTGCTGGTGGTTTACGACATGGTCACGGCGAAAATCCTGGCGGCTTACGACAACGCGTCGACTCAGCTGTTGACCCAATTCGAGAATTTCAGCGACTTCTTCAGAAACGCCAGGATGAGCACGGATTGTCAGTACATGTGTTCGCCGTCGAATAACATATACGCCAGGTATGCGATAGTCTGCATTAAAATTTGTTACAAATAACAACGTATACTTGATCCGAGCGATTCTCGTTTAAGTGCCCTTTGCCTTCCTTAGATTGTTGCAGCAGAGGTTCAAGCAAACGATAATAAGCGCCAGATACGGAGGCGTTACCGAAGCCACGAAGAGGCTGCTCGCCCAGTTGCCGATATGCGCGCAATCCTACTCGAGCTCTCCGTACCTCGACCTGTCGCTATTCTGCTACGACGACAAATACGTGTCTATGATGGAACGTCCCAAAGCTTGCGGGGAACATCCGATACGGTTGGCAACTCATTCTTATACTCGCGGCAAAATGTTACTCGGGAAAACCAATATCCGCCCATGTGTGCGACTGCTGTCTTCCTGTCTTCTTTTGCAGCTTCTATGCGCGCGATTCGGGCCTCTTGAAATTCAAAATGTACGCCGGCATGCTGGGCCGAACAGCACCGACGGCTGCGAGACGACTAGTCGCGTTCACGTTCCATCCAACGGACCCGTTCGCAATCTCGGTGCAACGTACTAATGCAGAATATATCGTCAGTTTTCACGTTAGGCGCGTCTAAGTCTTCCCTTTCTCGACATGTATATGTATATTTTACTAATGTACAAACGGATTTCTTATGGCGAATTCGGTTTCCTTGCACATTAAAACTTGTTCATAGTAGATTTTTGCATTTAACAATGTCTTGCAATGTTTTAAATACATGGTCAAAGATTATCTAACTAGAAAAATGATTCACACGAATGTAAAGACCATTTTACTAATTAAAAAGTATTTCAGAATTAAACTGTAAACAAGTCTTAACGCACTCACAAGCAATCGAATTCGCTATTATCAGAGAGAAACCTGAGAGCGGCCACGCCGGCGGTTTACTTGACACCGTTTCAAGAGATTGTTTTGTCACGTAAGAGCGCGCAAGTGACCTATCTCGCAGAGCTCTGAAGTAAAACGTCGGCGTGGCCGCTCTCAGGTTTCTCTCTGCTATTACTTTCTCGCGTGAGAATTGTCGAGATCGCTGCCGTTGAAGTACAAAATGGACTTTACTTTTCGAACAAAAGCTCTTACAGCTGCGATTATGCAAAGTTACATTAGATTCAAAGACTATCCTCAACTACTAGCATGTAAGATGCAATGTAATTTAATATACTTTTAATACAATTGAACATCGAGCAATGCGGGTTTTATCGTTACGATCGGCATCGTCTACGGAGGAAGATTTCAATTTCCGAAGAGGATTACATTCATGGACGTGGAACGAAGGATTGCCAGCCAAGACCAGCAAGTGAGACTTGCAGTTTAATTAATGCACTGCAATCGACGTCGTATCATGCGCTTCGGACCAACACGGTTCGTAAAACTAGAAAAAGAGGTCAAGGATAAAAGGTAAATTAAACCGAAAGTTTTTAAAGTTTTTCCGCATTGACAAAGATGCGTCCAGCAAGCAAAATGGTACTATCAAGCAATGTGAGAGAACGACAGAGTAAATAAGGCCAAGGTTGACGAGCTTTTTCGTTTGACGTGACAAGTGATTTTGGTCAGCGTACATCTTCATTTAAATGTTATTATCATGTATTGAAATGACAACGACGGTCTCTTATAACAGGCTAGCAAGCCTGTATAAAAGATGTTACTGGTTGTTTCAAAAATTTGTCCAAATATTTTATATAATCAAACCAAACCGTTATAGCACCGAATTTTATGTGTGATATGTAAGATCGGGTCTACAATAGGTGTGTAAGCCTTAAGCCATAAGAAATTGACCAATCACAGTCTGAAGAAGGAGAGTAATCGCTTGTGATTGATCAGTTTCTTATGGCTTAAGTCCCAGTCTACAATAGATGATTTAAGTCCTAAGCTTTAAGAAATTGGCCAATCACGGTCAAGTATGAGTAGAATGCGCGACTGTGATTAGTCAATTTCTTAAGGCTTAGGGCTTAAATCTCTATTGTAGACTGGGACTAAGTCCAGTCTACAATAGATGATTTAAGCCCTAAGCTTTAGTCCCAGTCTACAATAGATGATTTAAGCCCTAAGCTTTAAGAAATTGGCCAATCACGGTCA